ACAAATAATTCCCTCAACATTATTCACTAGGCTGCATTACTATTAATCTTCTCATCGTTCCTATCACCCATCTCCTCCCACTTATGACTGCAGGACTATAACTGTTGCTTATAGCCTTACGATTTATATTGATATTGTTTCCTGATTGCTTATTTGTACTCTATGACTATCATTAAGTGTTGTACTTTATGATTCTTAATGAATGTATCTTGTCTTTTTATGTACGCTAAGAGAGCTTAAGCACCAAAGACAAATTCCTTGTGTGTCCAATCACACTTGGCCAATAAAGAATTCTATTCTATTCTACCTTGGATTCATTAAAAGATCATTTTTAATTTATCTAGTGTACTTACAAATTGAGACCCATCCCAATTGCATCTGTGGCAACCATGATTTTACATGGATCATCCGGATCATTGAACTTCTTTGCCTGGGTAAGTTTTGTTCCTGAAACAATCAGAACAGATGAAGTCCCAAATACAAGAACGGTCTGAATATGTACTTTTACTTAGATTTACAATATTTACTTTTTAAAAATTCCCTTCTGAAGCTGACATTTTAATTAGATGGTGGAAAAAATGCAGCATCCCAAACTGTATCAGGGACAGCTATGCTATGTAATTAGAAAGTACGTGCCAGGATCACCCCTTCTACATTTGCACAGAGATAAGTTATCTGTCTGGAGGGGTGTCGTCCACATATAATCATACGTACGTTTATGCATTACATGTTTCTAATAACTAAATGTTCTCAAATTAGTGAATGTATAATGACTATGCAACAAGCCACAAACAACTGCCAGTTCATACCGTGTTTTCCCCAAAATAAGACAGGGTCTTATTTTCTTTTGACCCCCTCCTCAAAATAACCACTTGGCCTTATTTTTGGGGAGGTCTTATTATTTTTGAGGTGCCAGGAGGCAACAAGCGTGGTCATCTCATGGCTGCTGCTGTGTTGCAATATTTTCAGAGAGGGCTTATTTTAGCGCATGCGCTCAAAAGCCTGATTGGGCTTATTATCCAGGAAATATGGTACTACTAATATCTCTGTAAGACGACCTCAAATTAAGAAAAATATTGCAATATAAGAGAAGCTGATCTGTTTATCTGTGAAAGAGACAGCTGAGGAAAGAAAGTTATTTTCTTAGAATTTTTTAAACAGGAAATGTTGCCACATGTCAATATATACCGTGTTTCTCCCAAAAGAAGGCTGGGTCTTATTTCCTTTTGACCTCCCCCCCTCCCCCCACAACAAAGGCTAAGCCTTCTTTTTGGAGAGTTCTAATTATTGACTCACCTCATGTTGCTGGCATCGACAGCCCTGCCCAGCAGGAACCCGCTGCTGGCCCACTTCTTCTGTGGCCGCTTGCCGCCACTTGCAAGGAACCCCCCCCCCTCCTCTGCAGCCGATAACAGAGCTCCAGATCCAGAGCTCTGATATTGGCTGCATATGCGTTCCGGCAGGTATCTGAAGGTGAAACGGAGGCTGGGGCGATGCGTGCGAGTGGTGGCAAATGGTTGCAGAAGAAGCGGCCGCAGAAGAAGGCCAGGCAGCTCCACCTCACACCCCCATCCCCACCCTAGCTTAGTTTTTTTTTAACATGTGTGCTTTATACTGACAGGAACTTGAACTAAATGCCTTCTGGGGATATTTTCTAATTCTATTATGGTTTTGGAGTAGATGAAATAAAGATTTTTTTAGAGTGGTATATGCCTGGTGTTTCTCTCTTACATCTTACAAGGAGTCCTTCTGCTATTTGTACAAATCTCCCTGAGAGAAAATTATGTCAACCCATTCAGAAAATACAATTCATACACAGTAATAAAAAACATTTTTTAAAGAAGAAACTAAAACAAAAGGAATACACTAACGTACATATTATTATCTGCAAGTAGCTGCTGCCTCAATAAGGGGCAGTTAATTCAAGAATCAATAAATGAAACAAATAGTGGATGTAAACGCAACAAAATTCCAAAGATAAAGAAACAAAGAATACACCTAAACTATCAGGTATAGAAATATTGAACAATTTAGTAATCAAATGTCAACCCTACTAATTCTACTTTTCAATAATAATTACAACGAGGAGTATTTCTCACATATAATTTCACCCAAAATATTTAGAATATGTACCAGGTGGAAGACTTCCGTAGATGACTGCACATTCCAAGCCCCGGAATTCAATTTGTCGACTCACTGAATAAATGTCATTCTTATTGAAGCAAACGATGCAGTCTCCAGGATGAAGGTTATCCAGAGATTCAAGAGCTTTATTCAGAACCTTGATGGGAGTAAGCCTCTTGTACCTTTTCACCTATAAACAATATTATGTATTGCCATAACTCGAATACTGAACAAAAGACACTGGTTACGGGTCAAGGGGTTCTGAATAGGCGACAAACTCTAACCTTAAAGGGTTCCCAGCATGATCTTAATTACAGGCTGTAAGAACAATTACCAAAAGTGAAGAACTCTTAACTAGCTCTTCTCATCTTAAGAGGCCATCTAGCAACACCTTTGTAACAAATGGAGCTGTTGACATCAAAGAGAACAAATATGGGAAACAAACAGGGACTGAACAATTGGTGAATGGCTTTTCTTAGTGGCTGGATGGGGAAGGAGACAGCACTTATTGGGGGGAAGTAACTTGTATATTCATTCAAAATTACTTTCTGCTTCAGGCATTAATAAAAGCTGCTACTTTGAGAACAATATTTCCCTTTGTTGGTTTCACTTCTAAGTGAATTTCAGAATTCAGAATTTTTGGGAGTGAGGTGACCTCAAAATCCTATAAATTAAAGTACAATACAATACAATAGCAGAGTTGGAAGGGACCTTGGAGGTCTTCAAGTCCAACCCCTCTGCCTAGGCAGGAAACCCTATACCATTTCAGATAAATGGCTATGCAACATCTTCTTAAAGACTTCCAGTGTTGGGGCATTCACAACTTCTGGAGACAAGCTATTCCACAGATTAATTGT